TTCTCTGTGTAAGGGTTAGGCACACAAACTGGCTTTAGAAGATGCATCTGCCACCCAGGATCTTAGCCATAGAGCTCTTCTGGCTGAGATGGAAAGAGCCATATTTCTGGCTAAGGCCTTGACCAAGTCTACTGAGGCATCGGAAGTAAAGTCTACTGCTAACTTTATATCTCTGAGGTTTTCTAGAAGACTGGATCTGCTTCTGCCTTTTTGAATGTCTTCCTAAAGATTTTCAATCCAAATTTTTAAAGCTCTGGAAACTGAAGTGAGAGCCACAGCTGGATGGAGGCCTGTGCCTGCTGCAACATAAGCCTTAGCGAGGTGTAGATCCATCTTTTTATCCATGGGATCTCTGAATGACCCTGCATTGTCGACTGGTAGGGTAGTGCGTTTGGCCAGTCTTACCACAGAAGCGTCTACCTTAGGAGCAGAATCATTCTTCCTGAAAGGATAAAGGTGTGCGATTCTGCCCTGAGCTGATAATTTCCTGTATGTATTAGACCATTCGTCTCCAATCAGCTCCTTGATCGTCTCATGTACTGGGAATGTAGCTCTTTTCTTCCTTAAATCGGCAAAGTATCTGCTGCAAGTAGAAGGTTGCTCAGAAGAAATCTCTTTTAGGCTCAAGGACATACGCACTCTGGCAGTTAAGTGATCTACTTATGCAGGTTCCATGAAATCTGGGGCTAGGGATTCTTCCTCTGAAGAGGAAAATCCTTCACTGTAGGAGTCCATGTCCATGGATTCATCTGAGGATTCCTCTTGAGAATACTCAGAAGGGTCGGTAAACCTAGGCCTTTTGAGAGATTTTCCTGCTTCTTTAACACCCTGGGAAACAGCCTGTTTGATAAACTGCATTATGTCCGGTGTAGGTGCAGAGGCAGGGGTTCCAGCGGCTGCTGTTAGACATTCTGCGCATAGACGTTTCCCTTCTAGTGGTCTATTGTTACAGGTCTCGCATCTCTTCTTCATAGGCGACTTGCCCTTGGAAGTTCCAGATGCTTTATTTCCCGTAGAGCTATCATGATAGGGAATTCAATAAATCCAGCACTCTTTTGTTTGTAATTAAATCATTAGAAAGAGAGGGGAAAAAATAAATGGCTTACCTATAACTCTTAGATTGTGACCTTTGTTTATGCATTGATATGTCCGAGTCTGATGAGAAAAATCTATTTTTTTTCCATTTTATCGACTGTAATAATATAGAAAAGAATTGAAATAATTATACCAACCAGTACACAAAATTCAATTTGAAAAAAGAAGGGGAATATACCTTTAAGAAGGTAAAACCATACCTGAAGTTCAACAGAAAAAAAACAGAAGTTGAAACACAAATCTGAATCATCCGTCACTGAAATGGATCCTTAGGACTGGATGAAACTGTGAAAGGTAAGTATTTTCAGTTTTGGCGCCTTTTAGAAGGCGTGCGACGTCACTGAGGACGTCCTAGCACACAAACCTGGTCAGCCGCAATGCGCATGCACAAAGCAAACCCTCCGCGCATGCACGGAAGCTAGCATGACGCGATTGCTTGTTCGCACACTGCCGTAGAACGCCAAGGCGTCAATTTTCTGCCGAGGAGGCTAAAATAAATCTCCTGCTTAACTCCTCCCCTGTACCCATCTTGGTAAACAGCAGGGAAAAACTGGAAAGCTACTATTCCATACACCTAGACCCCCCAGGGAAAACAAGATGATATATAAGGTAAGCAAAAACCTTACCTATATATGTCTGTTGTGCCTGCTGCAGCTTCTGCTCTGTAGAATAAGAAAGTGAAGAAAAGGTGGAAAGGGGCACCTTTTCTTACTGCCATGGACATTTTATACTTTTTGTTTTGTTACTTTATACTTACAGACAGTATGTTTTAAAGTGCATGTGTTTAAATCTGATTTTAATATGGTAATAATAGATTAACACAGAAAATTAGGCATCTGTGCTTTAATTGTCATGTGTAAGAGCATTATATATGATGTTGTAAAAAGTAAACACCCAGAGGCTGTTGAAGGCTCCCTTGATAACGGCATTTTTGCCGAAACGTTGGGGGTGCTTTGGTGATTGACGCTGTCCCTGCTTCTTACTAGGTTGGGTATGCTTGTCATTTTTTCTTTATATGAATTGATATTTGTGGGGTTGGAGTATATTGGTATCTTTTTTACCATTTCATATACTAACATTTTGCTACTCATATTTTACGCATTTGATGTTTATACATACATATCCAGAGTTGTTCTGGTTGTTCCTTTATAGTATGATATGACCCTATATTTTGGTTTTTACTCCTGTGCTCCTTAGTTATGTTGTATTTACATTAAAATGCACATGTCTTTAAAAATCTCATATTTTTTATTTAAAACAAAGTTGTGTTATTCACTTAAGAACTCTGAGTTTTAGCCAATTAATATGTCAAATATGTTGTCAAAACAACCATCCTTAGGCACACATTTCTTTTTTAGATTAAAATTATGCCATTTCAATTTTAAATTCACCACAATTCCAAGTTTATGAATAATCCTGAAACTTTATAATTACCATTATTATTTGATGCCAAAAATTTGTTACCAGAGGACACATTTTGCTTGTTTATTTCCTGCACGTTTGCATAAATCTGGGATTTGGTACGAAATTTTATAGCTTAGATCAAAGTCTATCCATGAAATAACTACATCATAAATGTAGGTTAGTAAATTAAATATGGCCATAAAAATAATAAAAACCAGACAGATAAAATTGCTATTCAAACAAATATCAAATCTCAGATTCCTTTTGGAAGTGCAGGTAGTTACAGTATAATAACCTTTGTATTGCTATGATGAAAACATTACAGGACATGTAAAAATAGTGAGTGCAATTTGATTAAAGGCTGAGGAGCAATATAAGTGTTTTGATTAAAGAATTACCATCATTTATTTTTAAATTTACACCCACCATTAATTTAAACATTGAAAATCACCTATAGCATTTATTAACCTTTGGTAATACACATTATTCATAGCTCCTCTATATGTTTTGTTAAAAGGAAAGAGCATGTAAAAAGGACTGACTGGGAGCTAAGATGGAGGTTCACAGTTGCAGGATAAAGAGATGTGAAGTGCTATGTTTAAATCTGTTTTTTTCATACCTGACAAATACAAATGTACAAGCAATGGTGTAATAATGGGGCAAAACAGGTGGAGTGCATGTCTATAAAAAAAAAAAAAAGCAAATTAGCACTATACAATACTAGCACGATACTACTTGTTTAGCGATTATGTAGGTGAGAACTAATTTTAGCAAACTGTCTGTCTTTCTTGCTGTAAAGTGAATGACAATGAATTACTAAAATGAGCCATAGCAGTCAGATACAGCATTGGGTATTATATTAGGCCCAGTGGTGTGGATGAGGGCTGTAGGCCTACTTTTTGATATGTAAGAAAAAGTGACTCAGTCATGCAGATCCATCTCCTTTAACAATCAAAGGTAAACTTTTTAACATATACATCAGGTGTTTGCCTTTTTGGCTTCCACATGTCTCTATTTATACTAAGAAGTCAAGGGGTGACCCATTATGCACTGGAGGCTCTGCTTTGATACAAGGGCAAATGCAAATATTACAAGTTTTAGAATGAAATGTTGTATTTCTTAAACTGTGTACTTTGAGATATTGCAAATTGACAAGCTGTTAGAAATGGAACATATTGTTTTTCATAGATGTTTCTTTAAGCAATAACCTCAGTGCATAATATGTTTGCGCCATTTTGTCCCAGACGAATTAGAATAACAATAATGCATAAACAAGCTTCAAGGCTATGCTACAACTCTTTCAGTACGTAATATACTGTGGTAACCCCAAGTTAATGGAACTTCCCCAAATCCAGGAATCTCCCACGACCTTGCACTTATGTCTTAGTATAAACAACAGATAAGCTATTCAGACTTTAAGATGCCATCTTGAACTAAGTCAGGAGAATTTCCATGACGTATGCACCCTTTAGTTATGGACTTGTATTTTTGCCAAGTTAAGGGAGGTCCTAAAATGAATAAAGTAAAAGAAGTGTTACTTTTTCATATATGAACTACACTAACCCTAAAATGGAGACACCTAAGGTATAAATAGGTGTACTTTTAAATGTTAGGAAACAGAGGCGAGACTTGGAGACAGACGCTGCTCCATCTTAAAATGACAGAGAGGCTGACATGATGACATGTTCAGAAGGGTATGTTAATGATATTTGCAAGCATTTAGTTTAATATTATAAACTCTGCTATAATGGATTTTATGTCTATTTATATTTTTATATAATAAATATCTAAAAATACAAAACTTTATTGCTTCCAAGACAATCCTTATTTTATATTGTATTCTCAATTATTTATATATGTTAAATAGAGGATCTCTTACACTAACTATATAAAATTATGGCTAAGATATCTGTATGGTTAGCCCTACTAAGTTCTATGCTTTAAGACATTATAGTGGTAAATAAGGGAACCAGCTGCGGTTACAGTGCTGCATAGCGTAAGGGGAATAGAGGTGTTGGGGAGAGGGATTGCTTGAGGGACTCTCCTAGGGAGGTTGGGTTATATTTTGCTGGGTGCAGGGAGTCAACGTTTCAGCCCAAGGAGTGTGTAAAATTATGTTGGTGGTACATGGAGGATCTGCGGGGTCGGGGCGTTGGCCTGCTTTGCTTGGCACTGTGCGGCCTGGCTATGTATATAGTTAAGACATGTAGGATGTGGTAGTAAAGGATAAACATGGTCAGAGACATGATAATGGAAAAATATACTAGTTGAATTCTGTTTGAGCATGTCAGGTATAGCATGGCATGTTATTTTTCGCCGGAACCCACTTCCGGGTTCACGGCGTTCAGCCCCGCCCCTTTCTCTGACGCGGTCCCTCCACGATACTTAGGAGGACCGCGCCAGATTCAAAGGGCTGAATTATTCGCACAGGTGCTGCATGAAGATCAGCTGCTCCACTTCTATACCTCGGCTAGTAAACGGATTTCTACCTTCTCCACTTCTCGACCTCGGCTTGTAAACGGATTTCTACCTTCTCCACTTCTCGACCTCGGCTTGTAAACGGATTTCTACCTTCTCCACTCCTAGACCTCGGCTTGTAACTCTGAATTCTACCTTCTCCACTCCCAGACCTCGGCTTGTTAAAACGGACTTCCCCACTCTCCACTCCTAGTTCTCAGCTTGTTGAAACGGACTTCTAATTTCTCTTTCTTTGGGTGAATTAACCCTTCCAGTGCCAGAACTGCCTCTAAGTTAAGTAATACTTTTACCAAGCAAGTCAATCACTATTATTTATATTACACTGTATCTAAAACTTACTAAAGTGTCACTTTGTCTAATTATTCCTCTTACTCATAAGGGATTGCTACAAAGCCTAAATTTACCTACATGAATATTTAAAGGTACAGTGACCATAGTCATACCAATATAAACGGAGGTAAACCTTATTGTTGTTGCAACCAAGAAATGCTGCAGTTGAGTTCCAATTAAAACAAGTATCACAGAATATATCACAGAATATATCACAGAATAATTCAGCCTTCAATGGAACCAGCAGATATTAATTCTCAAGTTTCTGCCCTAACCAATAGAGTGGATACGATTGCTCATGGGTTACAGGAACTGCAAATTACAAATGAGAGAATATTAACCTATGTTAGAGACATTCAAGGTCATCTTCCTCATGCCGCTCTTCAATCGGCTGGTGATCCTGCTGTCTGTAATCCAGAAAAATTTTATGGAGATAGAACAAAGTACAGAGAGTTTTTGAATTCTTGCAAACTACTAATTGCTTTAAAACCTAGATCTTATCCCACCGAAAGATCCAAAGTCTGTTCAGTGATCTCTTTTTTAAGAGGTGAACCTATGGCATGGGCCCATTCCTTTTTGGAAAATGATGATCCCATATTGGATTCATTGGATGAGTTCTTTGAAGCTATGTCTTTATTATATGAAGATCCTTTTAAACAAACTACTGCTGATTTAACCATCAGAACATTACATCAAAAGAATAGACCTGTTGAAGATTATATTGCAGAATTCAAAAGATGGGCTACAGAAACCCAATGGAATGACATTACTTTACGCAATCAATTCCGTCTCGGATTATCTGAAGCTGTGAAAGATGAACTCTCTCGTACAGAACTTCCTCCTACCTTAAATGCATTGATTCAACTGTCTATCAGTATTGATAGACGTCTAAGAGAAAGAAAAGCTGAAAGGGTTCTTACTAATTCTACCTGGAGAAAACCTTTCACTACTCTAAAACTACCTGAAAAAATTCCTCCACAAACTGAACCTATGGAAGTAGGTATAATAAAAAGTCCTCTTACTTCTGAAGAAAGAATGAGAAGGAGACAACTAAACTTATGTATGTATTGTGCTTCGAATGAACATCTAATTTCCGAATGTCCTCTACTGAAAAATTCAAAAGGTGGTAAGCTTCATTCATCTACCTCTATATTGAACGTTTTTCAAAAAAGAAAAGCATCTACTTATTTTTCTATATCTCTCATATTACAGTGGGATACAAAAAGAATCGTGACTGAGGCCATCATTGATTCTGGTGCTAATGGAACTTTTCTTGATTTTTCTTTTGTTTCAAAAAATAAAATTCCTTGTGTTCAAAAAACCAAATTTATTCCAATCAGAGTTATTGACGGTTCATTTATATCCTCAGGACCCATCAAAGATGAAACAATCCCTCTAAGAATGATAACCAACAACGTACATTTCGAATTCATTACATTTGATGTTATTAAATCTCCACTTTATCCTGTCATTCTGGGAATTAATTGGTTAAAAAACCATGATCCTTTAATTAAGTGGTCTCCCTTCTCCATCTCCTTTGCTTCTGATTTCTGTAAAAAAACGTGCTTACAACACATTCCTATTCTCCAAACTACTGTAGAACCAGTTATACCTCCATTCTACTCCGATTTTTCAGATGTTTTTTGTAAAAAAGAAGCGGAAACACTTCCTCCTCATCGGCTATATGATTGCCCAATAGATCTCATACCCGGAGCCCCTATTCCTTATGGTCATATTTATCCACTCTCTGAAAAGGAGTTAGAAATTTTAAAAGAATATCTTAATGAAAATTTACGCAAAGGGTTCATCAGACCCTCGACCTCTCCTGCTGCTTCTAGTATTTTCTTTGTGAAGAATAAAGACCAAACCATCCGTCCTATTATAGATTACAGAGCCTTAAATAAAATAACTATTAAAAATCGTTATCCTCTTCCACTAATAAATGAATTAATTGAAAGGTTAAGAACTGCAACTATATTCACTAAACTCGACCTTCGAGGCGCATATAACCTCATTAGAATAAAACAGGATGATGAATGGAAAACCGCCTTCCGGACAAGATATGGTCTCTACGAATATTTAGTGATGCCTTTCGGGCTCTGTAATGCCCCTGCAACGTTTCAACATTTTATCAATGATATCTTTAGAGATCTTCTGGATGTATGTGTTATTATCTACTTAGATGATATCTTAATATATTCTAATAATTTGGATGAACATAGGAAACATGTTAGATGGGTTCTATCTAGACTGAGAACTCATAAATTATACGCTAAACCAGAAAAATGCCTTTTTGAGGTTACTGAATTCTCTTTTCTAGGATACATTATTTCACCTCATTCTTTGAAGATGGATAATTCCAAAATCAAATGTATTATTGATTGGCCTGCTCCTACTACTACAAAAGAATTACAACGTTTTCTTGGATTTGCAAACTTCTATAGAAAATTTATTAGAAACTATTCGGATGTATCACATCCTCTTAACCTCCTCAACAGTAGTAAACGTCCTTTTAATTGGAATAAAGATGCTCAAACAGCCTTCGACGAATTAAAAAAAAGATTTACAACTGCACCTATTCTACAACTACCTAATCCAACATTCCTATATGTTCTTGAAGTTGATGCATCAGATGCAGCCATCGGAGCAGTTCTTTCTCAACAAAAGACTCCACAAGATCCACTTCATCCAGTTGCCTTTTTTTCAAGATCCTTGAGCTCTGCTGAAAAAAATTATCCTATTGGTGAAAAAGAATTATTAAGTGTTAAAGCTGCCTTCGAAAATTGGCGTCATCTTCTGGAAGATACAAAACAACCTATAATAGTTTATACTGACCATAAAAATCTTGAATATCTCTATACTAACAAAACCCTTACAGCTAGACAAGTTAGATGGAACCTATTCTTTAACCGATTTAACTTCCAATTAATATATAGACCTGGAAATAGAAATAAAAAGGCTGACGCTCTTTCTCGAATTCCTTCTAAAACTACTACTGATGATTATCCTTCTACCAAAATAATAGGAATCCTCTCTTCTCTTCATGATGACATAAAGAATTTGAATCAGAAGGATCTTGAACTTCCCAAAACACCTATACTAACAAAAAAGGATGGTCTATTTTATTTTAAAAATAGAATTTATATTCCTCCCATTCTTAGGAATAAATTACTTAAGATGGTTCATGATTCCCCCCTAGCTGGACATCCTGGAATAAAGAAAACCCTTGAACTAACTTCACGATATTATTGGTGGCCTCGCCAGGATAGAACCATTGAATTATATGTCAAAACATGTCCTATCTGTCAAAGGTCTAAACCAGAACATAATCAACCTTTTGGATTACTACTTAACTTACCTATTCCAGAAAAACCTTGGCAATCCATTTCTATGGATTTTATCGTTGATCTTCCACCTTCTCAACATTTCACCACTATTCTTGTCGTTGTGGATCGCTTCACAAAAATGTCCCATTTCATTTCTTTAAAAAAATTACCCTCCTCTGTAGAATTGTCTAAAGTCTTTATTGACAATATTGTGAAACTTCATGGTCTTCCTGAAGAAATTATTTCTGATAGGGGGACACAATTTACCTCCAAATTCTGGAAAGAGATGTGTCTCTCCCTTCAAATTCAACGCAAACTCTCTTCCGCTTATCATCCCCAAACTAATGGGCAAACAGAAAGAGTTAACCAATGTTTGGAACAATATCTTCGATGTTATTGTTCATACCTCCAAGATGACTGGACCACATGGTTACCTATGGCCGAATTTTCTTACAATAATACCATTCATTCTAGTACGAAAATGACTCCTTTCTTCTCCAACTATGGTCTTCATCCGTCTTCATTCCCCATCCAAACCATTACTTCATCCAATCCTACTGTTACATCAAAAAATGAATTTATGTCTTCTCTATTTTTCAAATTACGGGAGAATCTTCAACTCGCCCAAAATAACCAGAAAAAGTTTTTTGACAATAATAGAAGAATTCCCCCTCCTTACAAGGTAGGGGATCTTGTCTGGCTCTCTTCAAGGAATATTACCACAAGCCGTCCTTCAAAGAAATTGAGCTCTCTTTTTCTTGGTCCCTTTCAAGTAATTACTATCATTAATGATAACGTTGTTAAACTAAAACTTCCTCCAAGTTTTAAACTTCATCCAGTATTCCATGTCTCTTTACTTAAACCACACATCCCTGATCCTTTTTATAGGGAAATAGTAACAACTCCTGAACCTATCATTGTCCACGGTGAAGAAGAATATGAAATTCACAAAATTTTGGATTCTCGTGTCCACCGTGGCTCCTTGCAATACCTTATCAGATGGAAAGGTTATGGAGTTGATGAAGACACTTGGGAAGATTCATCTAATGTACATGCTAGGAGGTTAGTTGCTGCCTTTCACAAACGCTATCCCTCCAAACCGAAATAGTGCACCCAGAGGATGCCCCATGGGAAGGGGGTACTGTCAGGTATAGCATGGCATGTTATTTTTCGCCGGAACCCACTTCCGGGTTCACGGCGTTCAGCCCCGCCCCTTTCTCTGACGCGGTCCCTCCACGATACTTAGGAGGACCGCGCCAGATTCAAAGGGCTGAATTATTCGCACAGGTGCTGCATGAAGATCAGCTGCTCCACTTCTATACCTCGGCTAGTAAACGGATTTCTACCTTCTCCACTTCTCGACCTCGGCTTGTAAACGGATTTCTACCTTCTCCACTCCTAGACCTCGGCTTGTAACTCTGAATTCTACCTTCTCCACTTCCAGACCTTGGCTTGTTAAAACGGACTTCCCCTCTCTCCACTCCTAGTTCTCAGCTTGTTGAAACGGACTTCTAATTTCTCTTTCTTTGGGTGAATTAACCCTTCCAGTGCCAGAACTGCCTCTAAGTTAAGTAATACTTTTACCAAGCAAGTCAATCACTATTATTTATATTACACTGTATCTAAAACTTACTAAAGTGTCACTTTGTCTAATTATTCCTCTTACTCATAAAGGATTGCTACAAAGCCTAAATTTACCTACATGAATATTTAAAGGTACAGTGACCATAGTCATACCAATATAAACGGAGGTAAACCTTATTGTTGTTGCAACCAAGAAATGCTGCAGTTGAGTTCCAATTAAAACAAGTATCACAGAATATATCACAGAATATATCACAGAGCAGTAATAGTACATACACGTGAAATCCAGTACTGCACGGGATTTAATCCTGTATTCTTCTTGTCTTTATTTATGCTGTCTTTTTCTCTGCCCCCCACCCCCTTCATATGGACATTGCTGAGTTAGTGACCTCACAAATATACTCAATTAGGTGCTCTATACTTTAGGTTCCCCTATTCTCCACTAAGTGTCCAAATTCAAGACACAAACACCGAAGATATTGAGTTATAGACCCAATACTCGTAGGACTGGCTCCTATCAACTAGATAGTGGAAGGGAGGCCATTCAAAGCCATTATGATCGGGCTGATTAATTGGCAGTTTTTTATCTTATGTATATGTCTTTGCTGGTTTCTATGAAAACATATTCCTAAGGGTCGTGGGAGTTGCATTAATGGAAGTAAAATGGTTAGAATGATAACAGTGAATACTCAGGGCTTGAATTTAACACACAAAAGATCTTTAGTATACAATTTTCTGTTAAGGGAGAAAGTCGAGGTAGGTTTTCTGCAAGACACTTACTGGAGGGACAATGGCAAAATTAAATGTGAGGAACCAGATTTCCTACTCTAATTCACGCGTCTGTTAAAAATCAAAAAAAGAGGAGTAGCTATTATTTTTGCAAGAATGGTAAAACTAGATCTTATTTATTAACAATGTTCATCCAGAAGGTGGATTTCTTAAAATTTGCAAACTTAATGAAATTGAATGCACATTGCTAAACGTGTATCTGCCAAACTGTTCCCTGGTCGTTACACTAAAAAACATTCTAGAAAAACAAGTAAAAATCGAGATTTGTATAATTGCAGGAGATTTTAGCTTCATTATGGACCCTAATATTGATTAAAAAAAAACTAGCAAAAAATAAGTCCCTGAATAAAAGCCTTATTAAAATGGTTAAGTCACTCACTAGTACGAAACATTTGACTACTTTCACTTTTTTTTTTTACTTTTCTAGAGTTTCCTTTTCCCATTCATGAATTGATGTGGTGTGGGGTAATGCTTTGGCCTTGGACAACTTACAAATGATTAAAATAATGCTGAATACTTGATCAGATCATAATATTGTCATGTGGTCCATGAAGGATCAATGGAATACCAAAAATAGAAACACTTGGAAGATGAATGACTCATTACTGTATAACCTCAAAATCTAGCGTCCCTTAAAAGAAATGTCACTATATTTTAAGGAAATAAACCAAATGACACTTCTCCCGCTAATAATTGGTGTGCGTTTGAATCTGCCATGGGAGGCAACTTAATAAGCTTAAATACACAATACAGGAAAAATAACAGGATTGATTTACTGACCCTATACATGGAATTAGCAAGGACCTCACTTAAGAACAAATCTGATCCCTCTAAAAGTAACTCGGACCGTGTGATTGTGTGATAAAGATCCAAAACCAAATAAAAAAAAAAATATTAGAAAATAATAAAAAAATAATGGAGAAACTAAAAATGAAACACTACAGTAAGGGCAATAGGGCGGATAAGGTACTAACTAAGAGATTGAGGGATAAAGCAGCAACCAATAAAATCACTAAAATAAAGGATGAGTTTGACGAACATCTCACTCCAAAAGCGATCGGCAAATGTTTTAACTTATACTATAGTCAGCTATATCATTTGCAGATAAGCGTGGGGAGCAAATGGCAGATACCTGTCACGGTGGGCGGTCCGAAGACAGGAACCCCTGTATGCGTGGTGATGATGATCATGATGATAGGAGTCACAGCATGGAAATAAACAATCAGGGCCTGGTGCAGGGTTACCACATGCCCCCTGGTGTTAAGCACCAGCGTTTGTGTGGCCACACATCAGGGCCCTAATGCAGCTTCTGTTGATCCCAGGTGCTGGATGATAATATGCAGACCTCCCAGGATCTGGATAGGGAGGCTCTACAGCAGATATGTATCCAGTACTAGAAACAAGGCAAGACTAGAGTAGGCATTAAACAAGAAAACAAGACAAGACTAGAAGAACCCAGAACCGGAGCAGGACTAAAAGCAGAACCCAGAACATGTACACAATACATGAGGGAAACATGAACAGGACATGGACAGGGCAGGACAGGACTGTACATGAACTGCAAAAACAAGACAAAATAAAACAAGACAACAGATACAAGGCAAAACAAGAGGAGACATAACTAAGTAGTATATATGTAAAACATTGGAGATTTAGACATACATAAATGGCCAAAATGTATGCAGCCCACCACTGTGACAAAGTACTCCAATTACGGT